TTAATTAAAAAAAATGATTTTTTAGGAATTTTTTTTTTTTCCTTTTATGTTTTACTTTTTGGCAATGGAAACAAATTTTATACCCAATTGTGAAAAAAAAATTATCACTTTAATGAACAATTTCATATAAAATAAAGCCAAACGAATACGAAAAGATCAAAAATTTTAAAAATTTTAGGATGAAAATTATACCAATCAAACACACTTAATTAACAATTTCTTGAAAAACAAGTTCTATGCAAGTACTTTCTCTGGAATTCATTTTATTTTCACATTTACAATCAAACAGACCCTAAATATATTTTAAATTTTTGCACTGGAGAAAAAAAAAGTTTTAATTAAGATGACTTGGGGGCAAGAAATTTTATTCTGAACCTATCTCCTATTTGGCAGGGAAGTAAAATCATATTTTTAGTATATTTTGATAGAATTTAATAAAATTTGTCAGAGTATGTCCAAAAGACTATCTATTTTAAAAGAATATATTCTATAATTAATAGAGCATCTAGAAGTTTAGAATAAAAAATTTTAAATACTCAAACAAACTCTTTATATTTAATACTTAATTTTACTAGTCCCAAAATATATTTTTTATTTTTCACTCTCTTTTATTTTCACTACATTCCCTCCAAATTAATATATTATTTCCTTCATTGAAAATTGAAATATTTTGAGTGCATTTTAATTACAATCCTCGTATGTCTAAAAAAAACTTATCTAATCCTCGTATTTCTAAATACAAAATTTCGATTGAATATTTGTCCTTCTTAAGTCACAAGGACGGAATTTGTGGACAAATTTAGTAATTACAGACAAAAAAAAGTACTAATTAAAGACTTTTAATACAAATTAAAATATTTTAAATTTGTGAAAAATTAGGATATCAATACAATCCCTTAACAAATCTTGTAAGTATGGCCAGTTACACTTTCAAAACAATTCAAGATCTTTCTTACATTTTATTCCAAGCTCACATAGGAAAAATTGCAAATTTAGTCATCAATCTATGTTTCTATCATGAATCGGCCTCCAACCTTAAAAAAAAATATTTTCTTCCTCAATTTTTCACTTTTGCAGTACAAGGAGTCCCATTAGATAGAAATAGAAACTGTTCAAATATCTAATAAAATATCACATGCAATATACGTGAAGCATTTTTCCAAA